CAATCCCCCAACACACAGACACTCTTCACGACAAGTCTCCTTTGGTTTCACCTGTCGTTCTCTCTCACTTGTCGGGGCATTTCATTTCTCCCCCAGTTTCTATGAATTGTTCGGTAAAAGCGTGAAGTACCCTTGTCGCCGTGGCCTTGTACAAATAGGCTCGTAGTGGGACTCCCGTTGTCGGCCTGGCCTGGGCCCCTCGTCACGGCTCGGCCGGAGCATTTTGAAGAGTAATTGGGTCTCGTGGACTCGTTGGAGAGCAAACAGGCGGCCGGCCCGAGAGTAGTGGAGCCAAACATGAGCGGCCCGAGGGGCGAGCTGGGTGGGCACCGGCTTCGGGATGAACCGGATGTTTGCGGCACGCGATGAACCGGTTGGAACCTAAGCGCCGTTTCGTTTTGGGATTGTGTTATCATACAATTGTAATAAAGGCGAATGCACTTGCCATACATTTAGCGTTTTCTAAATAACAGACCCCTGTAAATGATGTTTAGACTTATATCAGTTAGATTTTAGGGAGTAATTCTATTGACTTGACTAAAAGCGGGTGGCTACAGGGTGCCACATTCTAGGTCTTACTTTTTTTCTTTTCTCTTTTGTTTCTGTCTGTCTTCCTTTTCCCCAGCATTAAATGACCATTATTGTATCGATGCTTCTCTTTACTCAAACAAACCTGACTAAAGCAGGACTTCAGTCGGTAAGCTTTGTATGGTTTAACCAACGAGCAAATGAGAAAAGATTTTTCAAAAGCTGTGGCAGTTTGTACCCGAATTGAGTCAGAAACGTTCTTTGAAGCAGTCGAAAGAACCATTTAAAAAACAAACAAACAAAACCTGACGTAAAATGTTGATTCAGAGTATGAGCTCGCAAATCAGTGATCACTTCTCTGACAAATTTTCCGGTTAACTGAGTATTCTCGGATGTTTCGTGGTTGCACTTTTCAAGTGATATGACCTGTGGCTAGGCTACCTGCTCGACATGTGGCTAGGCTACCTGCTCGACACTGGAGAAAAAGGGCAACAAATAAAATCTGGCCTACAATTCACCGACACCCCTAGCTCATTAGTTAGATGAGGTTTTGTTTTGCACTTTCCCAGAGTTGTGGAGTGTAAGAACACCCTTGTCTTGTTCTTTTTCGTTCTTTTTCTTTTGGTTGTTTTTGTTATCCCAGTCTGAATCTGTTCCCAGGGAGATGTGTGTGTTACACGCTGGCTGACCCTGAAGTATCAGAGCTCACCCCTTGGGTGGTTGGCGGTTGCTCTGGTGTGGTTTGCTCCTTTTTTCCTATCAAACATCTATCGTCCTTATCTATCCTCCTTTTTTGTGTATGTTACTCTCTTGTAACACATCTATTCTTCTGCACTTATATATGACCTCATTGTGTTGCAAGTGCCGTAAAACTCTTACTTAAACTAAAGAGCTCATCCCCAAAAGTAAAACTATAATTTCGCGAAAAAAAAAAGAGTTAAAGAACATTGCAATGAGTGTATCATTGGTCTCTTCCCCCCC